GTGGGTATTTGGGGAGTGAACAAATGGACATGAGATCTCTGTACCTGTCTGTCTCTGTCTCAGGATAAAAAGAAAACAAATGGCAAGTTAGTAGCACAATTGCACAAAGAATTATTTTAGGTGATTTTTAAAATGCAGTATTTCACTGAGAACCACTAGTGATAAATACATTAAAGGATAAACTAAAAGCACAAAGAAATTTTAAACTGCATTCTGTCTTCTTATTGTTAGTAAAATCAATATTGTTTACACCTGAGAGTGCTTCTAAAGGTTCATGGGGGGATAGTATTGTGGCATAGTAAGCTGGAGCTTGGGACACTTCCATATCAGAGCACCTGGAATCCAGTCGAGCCTCTGCTTCTCCACCTTCCTGCCAGTCCCCACCCTAGGAGGCAACAGATCATGACTCAAGTGGGTTACTGCCACCTAGGTGGGAAACCAGTATGGAGTTCCTGGTTCTTGGCTTTGGCTTGTCCTAGCCCTGGCTGTTGTGAATATTTGGAGAGTGAACAGTGGAGGGAAAATATTCCCTATCTTTTTCCCCTTTTTCCTCCCACCATTGTCTGTTCCACCTCTTTGCCTTCCTACCCATCTCCCTGGTCCCATTCCCCTCTCTCCCTCCCTCCCTCCCTCTCTCCCTGTCATTTTGCCATTCAAATAAGTAAATAAATCTTGGGGAAAAAAAAAAAAAAAAGGTGTGTGTAGGGGAGCGAAATTGATGCCCTGGCACAGCTGGTTAAGTTCCTGTCTGCAGTGTTGGCATCCCATATAAGTGCTGGTTTGAGTCCCAGCTGTTCCACTTCTGATCCAGCTCCCTGCTAATGTGCCTAGGTAAGTAGAAAAAGCAGCACCTGAGTGGGAGACCTGGATGAAGCTCCTGGCAGCCCTGGCCATTTAAGCCATCTGGGGAGTGATCTAGCAGATGGAAGATGTCTCTTTCCCTCCTTCCCTCTGTCCTCTGCCTTCCTCCCTCCCCTGCCTCCCTCCCTCCCCTGCCTCCCTCTCATTCTGACTTTCAAATTCAATAAATAAATCTTTAAAAAAGGAAAAAATTCACAGGACAATGGAATTAAAAGTTCATTTTGATGATTAAATTAAAATTCATTCATAGTTCTTTTTATGACGTTTTTCTGTGAACTTTTTGAAGATCCTTTGGATGTGTGAACTTCAAAATTTTTAGACCAAAATAAACATCTCTGATTCTATTTTTAAAAATTGTTTTTTTTTTAATATTTTATTTTATTTATTTAAAGAGTTAGAGAGGTAGAGACAGAGAGAGAGGTCTTCCATCTGTTGGTTCACTCCCCAGATGGCTGCAACGGCTGGAGTTGCGCCGGTCCGAAGCCAGGAGCCGGGGCCCAAGGACTTGGGCCATCTACTGCTTTCCCAGGCCATAGCGGAGAGCGGATAGAAAGTGGAGCAGCTGGGACTAGAACTGGCACCCATATGGGATGCCGGCGCTTCAGGCTAGGGCTTTAACCTGCTATGTCACCGCGCCGGCCCCTATTTATTTATTTGAGAGGGAGATTTACGGACAGAGAAAGGGAGAGACAGAGAGAAAGGTCTTCCATTCATTAGTTCACTCCCCAAAGGGCTGCAACTGCCAGAGCTGGGCCAACCCCAAGCCAGGAGCTTCTTCCAGGTCTCGCACGTGGGTGCAGGGGCCCAAGCACTTGGGCCATTTTCTGCCGCTTTCCTGGGCCATAGCAAAGAACTGGATTGGAAGAGGAGCAGTCGGGAAAGAACCAGTGCCTATATGGGATGCTGGCAGCACAGGTGGAGTCTTTAGCCCACTATGCCATGGCGCAGGTCCCCCTAATTCTGTTTTTTCCATGAACATTTTGAAGTATGCTTGTATAATACATACAATGTTAAAGAAATGTTATTTTGTTATCATTTGAAACTATGACTTTTTTTCAGCTTAGGAGAAAGACATAGGTAGAAAACTGTAGGAATTTTTAAACCCTTTGTACTTTACTGTGAATCACAAATATTAATATGACTTTGATTTATTTTTCTTCTTCTAACAGTATGTTTTTTGTTACGGCCACTGAAAAGTTCTAGAAGTAGTAAGCATCTTTTGTTTGGTAAACATTCTCAATCAGAAGGAAGCAGGACTTCTTAGAAAAGAGTCTGGCTCCATGATCTGGGGCAAAAAAAAATGTTTAAGAACACCCTTACGTATTTCATACTACAAAAAAGCAGGCCGGTGCCACGGCTCACTTGGCTAATCCTCCTCCTGCAGTGCTGGCACCCGGGGTTCTAGTCCCTGTTGGGACGCCAGATTCTGTCCCGGTTGCTCCTCTTCCAGTCCAGCTCTCTGCTGTGGCCCGGGACTGCAGTGGAGGATGGCCCAAGTGCTTGGGCCCTGCACCCGCATGGGAGACCAGGAGGAAGCACCTGGCTCCTGGCTTCAGATCAGCACAGCGCCGGCCGTGGCAGCCATTTGGGGAGTGAACCAACGGAAAAAGGAAGGCCTTTCTCTCTGTCTCTGTCTCTCTCTCTCTCTCTCTCACTAATTTCGCCTGTCCAAAAAAAAAAAAGCACAGATATTGGGGTCCAGTCGAGACAAGTAGGAGGCACTTTTAGTGGATACTAAAGAGAAATGGTGACAGCAAAAAAGGGAAATATATCAGATACATGAAATTCCATGAGTTTATAATGATCTTCCATTCTCCTGATACCAGTTCAGGCAAAATTCATTGCTTACCTTTGGAAGTTGGTAGAATGACAACTTTTTTCCAAAAAGCTGATAATTAATGAGAAAGAATCAAGCAGTAAGCCTGTTTTTCATTTGAACATTGTATTTTAGAGTTTCAGTGTTCTTTACAAAAGAATTGGAACTAATATACCTAGAAGAAATTACAAAATTTAGAAAATCACCATTTTCACTCCCTGATAAAAATACTGGGTCTAGGCAGAGTACATTAAGCCTAATGGGGATGGATTCGACTGACATACTTCGACCCATTTGTTTTTAACATCACCAAGAAGATACATTCTTTGTGACAGTGATGCAGTAAATTCAGCAGGACAGTTTTAAACATGGCCTGAGTATTAGATCATACTAAGAATTTAGCCTTAATTTTGTGGTTGTGAAAATAGTGTTGTGATTATATGTATTTATCTGTTAGTGGTATATGGTGTAGAGGGTACATAGAAATTTGTGAATAAAACAATTTGTTGAGCACAGTGTAAAGTACACTTTTTTTTTTTTTTACTTTAACCATATCTCAGAAAAGGGAAGGGAAACACCTGTGAAGCACAACACCCAGACTGTTTTTGGTTTCAAAAGTGAATGATGGGCTGGCGCCCCAGCTAACTTGGCTAACCCTCTGCCTGCAGCGCCGGCACACTGGGTTCTAGTCCCGGTTGGGGCACCGGATTCTGTCCCGGTTGCTCCTGCTTCAGTCCAGCTCTCTGCTGTGACCCAGGAAGGCAGTGGAGGATGCCCAAGTCCTTGGGCCCTGCACCTGCATGGGAGACCAGGAGAAGCACCTGGCTCCTGCCTTCCGATTGGTGCGCACCGGCCGTAGTGGCCATTTTGGGGGTGAACCAATGGAAAAGGAAGACCTTTCTCTCTGTCTCTCTCTCACTGTTTAACTCTGCCTGTCCAAAAAAAAAAAAAAAAAAAAAGTGAATGATACTTATATAATGGTTTATTATAATTTTTGTACTTTATGAATTTGTTTAAAAATTTTCAGAGAACAATTTCCTTATAGTTAGGCTCTTATGAAAACAGGATATAAAATTGCATATATAGCTACATTTATGAAAACAGTTTAACTGAAAAATACTAATTGTGATTGTGTTAAGTTATGAGTCTTATCCATTTTTTTTTTTTTTTTTAAAGATTTATTTATTTGAAAGGCAGAGTTAGAGAGGCAGATAGAGACAGAGAGGTCTTCTATCCGCTGATTCACTCCCCAGATGGCTGCAATGGCTGGTGCTGCACCAGTCCGAAGCCAGGAGCCAGGAACTTCTTCTGGATCTCCCACATGGGGGCAGGGGCCCAAGGACTTTGGTCATCTTCTACTGCTTTCCCAGGCCATAGCGGAGAGCTGGATCAGAAGTGGAGCAGCCAGGACTTGAACTGGTGCCCTTTGGGCACCTACAGTGCTGGCTTTACCTACTATGCTACGGCACTGGCACCCAGTTTTGTATTTTTAAAAAAAATTTTTTAAAATATTTATTTGGAAGTCAGAGTTACAGAGAGAGAGAGAGGAGAGAGAGATCTTCTGTCCACTGGTTCTCTTCAAATGGCTGCAACAGCCAGGGCTGCGCCAGGCCAAAGCCAAGAGCTTCATCCAGGTCTCCTACATGGGTGACAGGGGCCCAAATACTTGGCCCATTTTCCTCTGATTTTCCCAAGTCATTAGGAGGGAGCTGGATTGGAAGCAGAGCAGCCAAGACACACTTGCCACCCACAGGGGGTGCTGACATCGCTGGTGGCCACTTAACCTGTGACACCACACTAGTCCCCTAATTGTGGATTTTTGTAATTTTTGAGGACTATATTAGAGCAGTCATATGCTAAAATTATTATAATTGTGCTTTCTGGTTACTACTTTTTTTTTTTTGCAGAGCTTTCATGTTGAAAGCATTAACTAACTTGAAAACTAAAGATAATGCCTTTTTAGGTTTTGTGAAATTTTACAGATATGTACATAGAATTCAAGACAGTATAAATAATAGTGAGAGACAGTTCAAATAAGGAATTATTAGTGTTTCTTTACTGATAATTTCAAATATTTTAATGGTGAAACGTCATTAAATTCTTAAAATACATATTAAGACATTTAGCCTGCGACCTGTAATTCTCTTAGTTTTTAAGACATTTTACCTCTTGAAAGAGCCAGCTATCCTCTTTGTGGTAAATTTTGAAGACAATTAAGGAGAAAAAGAATTTGAGGCCATATTAAATGTTAACTTATTTTTATGAAGATAAGTTATTTTCTTTTTATCAGACTTTATTATAAATTTTTTTTCTTCTTTTTTAGGAAGGAGGAGTATTTACCTTTGGAGCTGGAGGGTATGGTCAGTTGGGTCATAACTCTACCAGTCATGAGATAAATCCAAGGAAAGTTTTTGAACTTATGGGAAGCATTGTCACTCAGATTGCTTGTGGAAGGTAAGTTATTTTGCATAAAAGAGTATTTTGGTCTCCATACCACAATATTTAGGGATTGTTTAATGAATTATAGGGTTATAATAATGTAAGGTAAAACATTTTCCCCCAGGTGGCCTAATTTGCTATAGAGGAGTCATAGTAACAGAAAAACATCTTTCATACTGGTTATTTTAATTCCTTCCTTGAAACACATTTATCCGAAGCAGAATGTTGGTATGTGTATGTAAGCTTATATTTATTGGGTTTCACTGTTGAAATTACGGCAGAATTAGTCAGTGGTGAAAGTTTAATTGGTATGCTACCTGATTCCTGGTTCTTGAGAGTAAATAGGATTCTTTGCAATTGAACTTCACATTTGGGACAATTAAATTTGGAAGGCTTTTAAGTAGAAAATGTAGTGCCTTTCTGGACCATTTAAGTTTTGACCACTTAGATTAATGTTATCTTTAGCAGATGTTTGTTGCAGCACTTAAGCTGCTTGGTACATCTGTATCCCATAGCAGTGTGCCTGGGTTGGAGTCCCCCCTCTGCTCCTGAGACCTGCTAGGTGCTAATGTACCCTCTGAGAGGCAGCATGTGATGGATGGCTCAAGTAGTTGGGTGTCTGTCACCCACATGGGAGACCTGGATTGATTGCCAAGTTCCCATCTTCTGCCAGGCCCAGCCTTGGCTGCTCTGGGCATTTGGAGAGTGAATTAGAAGATGGGAATTTTCTCTTTTTTCTCTCTCTTTGCCTCTCAAATAAAAATTTAAAAGCACAAAGATTAATGTTTTCTACCTTGTATGTATCTCTGTAAAATATAGTTTAATTTTCCAATCAGTAACCTGAGATGCATGGAATTACACTGCAGGTAATTTTTGGTGACTCTTTTCTCTTAGCAACCTGTTTGTATGATTTGTGTGTAATGTTTCTCCATCATCAGGTTTTATTCTGTTTATAGACATTTGGGTACTGGACTTTTTTTTTAAAGGCTTATTTATTTATTTATTTGAAAGACAGAGTTACGCAGAGAGAGAGGGAGAGAGGTCTTCCATCCACTGGTTCACTCTCAGTTGGTTGCAAAGCCTGGAGCTGCACCGATCCGAAGCCAGGAGCCAGGAGATTCTTCTGGCTCTCCCACACGGATGCAGGGGCCCAAGAACTTGGGCCGTCTTTTACTGCTTTCCCAGGCCATAGCAGATAGCTGGTTTGGAAGTGAAGCAGCTGGGACACGAACTGGCGCCTATATGGGTTGCCGGCACTGCAGGCAGCGACTTTACCTGCTATGCCACAGTGCCCCCCACCCCCACTTTCACTTTTTGATAATTAACAATAATATTGCTTGGACATTTATTATATGGTATACATAAACTTACATATCTGCTTGGGATGGATTACTGAGTCCTAAAGGATATATTAACTTGGATTTTGCAAGTTAACTTCATTATTTTATCCAGAATTGTTATACCAGTATATGGTTTCACTGGTGTCTGAGAATTTCTTTTTTCTTTTCTTTTTTTAAAGATTTATTTATTTACTTGAAAGGCAAAGTTACAGAGAGTTACATTTGTCAGACTTAATATATTTTTGCTAATATCTTGAATATATAGTACTTCATCATGATTTTAAACTACATTTCCTTGATTTTACTTGACTACCTTTTAATATGTTTATTGGTCATTTATATTTCTTCAAGATATATGAAATTGATTCATAGTGTCTATGTATTGTGAATACACTTCTGTGAGTATTCCCAATAAAGGGTTAAAGTCATTTATTGGACGTATGTTTTGACGATGTCTTCCCATTCATTGTCTTGTCATTTTTCATTCTGTTTTTTTCATGATTAAAAATTCTAAAAATGTTTTAAATCTTAATGACAATGAATTTATCAGCCTTTTACTTAAAGTTGGTGCAATTTTTTTCCTGCCTGAAAACATAATATTTTTTATTCTTTTCAAAAACATAGTTTTAACTTTTTGAGGGAAATCTGTAAGCTATCAGAGAATCAAATTATTTTGATTGAATAGTCAGTAACCCTACCCTAGCACTGCTTGAAATTTTGTGTGTTAAAATGTACAAAATTTATCATCTTAAGTATTTTCAAATCTACCATCAGTGATACTAAGCACATTTATATTGTTGTAAAACTGTCACCTCCATCCATTACCAAACCCTTTTTCATTTCCTTAAATTGAATCTCTATATGCATTATAATTCTGTGTTCTCCCAAATCACTAATCCCTGGCAACTACAGTTGTGCTTTTCTATCCCTTTGAATTTGCTCTACATACCTTATATATGTGAAATTTTACAGAATTTGTCTTTTTGTGACTGGCTTATTTCAGTCAGTGTAATGTGCTGTAGCAATTTCGAATTGTGCTGCTATGAACATTGGTGTACAAATACTTATTTAAGATCCCATTTTTAGTTCTTTTGGCTGTATACCCGGAGTGGCATCGCTTGATCATGGGGTAGTTTTGTTTTTAATTTTTTGGGAACTGCCACACTGGTTTCCATATTTGTTGCACCAGTTTATCTTTCTCCCAACAGTGTACAGGGCTCTAATTAATTTCTCCACATCCTGCTCAACACTTGTTATTTTCTTTCTCTTCCTCTTTTTTCTCCTCTCTTCTTTTTGTTGTCTTCTCTTGCTTTTCTTCTTGTTGCTCCTTCCCATTGTAACTGGTTGTAATAGATATGATATAGTATCATTTTTCTTATGGTTCTGATTTACATTTTCCTAATAGTTACTGATATTGAGCATCTTTACATGCCATTACAGGCCATTTGTACATCTTTTTTTGGGGAAATAGCTATTCAAGTCGTTGGCTGTTTTTGAATTTGGTAGTCTGTTGAGTTTTAATTAAGAGTTCTTTATTTGTTCTGGGTATTAATCCCCTATCAAATAAATGATTTGCAAACATTTTCTTCCATTTTGTGAATTGCCTTTGTATTCTTTTATTAATGTCTTTCATGCACAAATTTTTAGTATTCAGCAAAGCTCAGTTTGTCTAATTTTTTTTGTTACTTATGCCTTCGATGAGAAAAGCCATTGCCAAATCCAACATCATAAAGACTATGTCCTTTTTCTTTTAAGAAGTTTGAACTTCTTATTTAGACCTTTGGTCTATTTTTGCAACTGAGTTTCATGTATTTATTGTGTTCTGCTGCTCTACAGAATTTATTTTAAAATTTTTTCGTGGAATTTTTATGGTGTTTTATGTATGCCATCAGTCATCTGCATACAGAGATAATTTCTCGCTTTCCAGTTTGAACACCTTGTATTTCATATTCTTGCCAAATTGTTCTGGCTAGAATTTCCAAAAATGTGTTGAAAGAAGTGGTGAAAGCAGGCATCTTTACTTAGTTCCTGATCTTCGAGGAAAAGCTTTCAGTCTTTATCATTGACTGTGATGTTCCCTATTGGTTTTTGATATATAGCTTTCATTTTGTTGAGGTGGTTTCTATCTTTGCTTAGTTTTTCAAGTGTTTTGTTTTCATCATGAAGGGATACTGAATTTTGCTAAATGATTTTCTATATTAATTCAGATTACACTGATCATTTAAAAAAATTTATTTTGTTTTAAAGCCAGAGAGAGAGAGAGAGAGATCCTTCATTCTGCTGGTTCATTCCCCAAATGACTGCAACAGCCAGAACTGAGCTGATCCAAAGCCAGGAGCCAGGAGCTTCCCCGGGTCTCCGACATGGGTGCAGGGGCTAAAGGAGTTGGTTCATCTTCTATTACTTTCCCAAGCCATAGCATAGAGCTGGATCAGAAGAGGAGCAGCCGGCACTCAAACCAGCGCCTATAAGGGATGCTGGCACTACACGCTGGGGCTTTAACCCACTGCGCCACAGCACCGGCCCCCAATCACTTTTTCTTTTTTTTTTTTTAAAGATTTATTTATTTATTTGAGAGGTAGAGTTACAGACAGTGAGGAGAGACACAGAGAGAAAGGTCTATTTTATTTTTTAAGATTTCTTTTATTTGAAAGAGTTACACAGAAGAGAGGCAGAGAGAGGTCTTCCATCCGATGGTTCACTCCGCAATTGGCCACAATGGCCGGAGCTTCACTGATCCGAAGCCAGGAGCCAGGAGCTTCTTCCAGGTTTCCCACACTGGTGCAGGGGCCCAAGCCCTTGGGCCATCTCTACTGCTTTCCCAGGCCATAGCAGAGAGCTGGATTGAAAGAGGAGCAGCCAGGATTAGAACCTGTGCCCGTATGGCATGCCAGCACTTAAGGTCAGGGTGTTAACCCACTGTGCCACAGCGCCGGCCCGAGAAATGTCTTCTTTCCATTGGTTCACTCCCCAGTTGGCCGCAACAGCCGGAGCTGTGCCGATCTGAAGCCAGGAGCCAAGAGCTTCTTTTGGGTCTCCCACGCGGATGCAGGGGCCCAATGCCCTGAGCCATCTTCTACTGCCTTCCCAGTCCATAGCAGAGAGCTGGATTGAAATGGAGCAGCTGGGTCTCTAACGGGCACCCATATGGGATGCCAGTGCTTCAGGCCAGGGCGTTAACCTGCTGCACCACAGTGATGGCCCCTTGATTACTTTTTCTGTGTTGAACCTATTTTGCATTCCAGGAATAAATCTCCTTTGGTTATGTTTTTTAATTCTTTTTTAAAATGGTACTCTCTTGAGTTTACTATAAACCAGTTTCCTTGGTCACAAGGCTTTAACGGACAGAATAAGTCTTACCTGTGGGGAATACTGCAGCCTTCAAGGGAGCACACACTGAGAAGGTACTCCAGAACAGTAAGAAATATGGATGAACTAATTCCTCCTCAAAGATGCCTTCCTCAATTGCCAGTGCAAAGGAGAAGTACTGATTTGAGAATAATATACCTTTTGAGATTTTTGCATATCTATTTTTGTCTAAGTGTATTCTGATGTTCACACAACTGAATCACACATATCCATATATTTGTCAGAACATAAAACCATCATTAAAAAATATATTACTATAATTGGATAATATTTTTTTATCTATCCTGCCAGTCTCTCTTAATTGAG